GTTAACCCTGATCTCACTGGGCTGTACTGCACTGTACTGCACTGTACTGTGCTTTTACCCTGATCTCACTGGGCTTTACTGCACTGTTATGTGCGTTAACCCTGATCTTGCTGGGCTGCACTGCACTGCACTGCACTGTGTGTTCACTGGTAAGATGACTTCACCCTGCTGTAGCACTGTGTGTTGAATGGGGGTGGGTGGTGTAAGGCTTGCTTTGCTTTGGTGAAGCTGGAAGGGTTTGTTTGTGTCCACATACTGACTGAGCTCTGAGGCCCTGGGCTCCCCTCTGCCCACCAGTACCCGCGCACCCCTCTCTCAGAGTCAGAGCCGCGGCATCACAAGGTCAGATGACCCCCCGCCTTATAAGGCAACGGCGCAAAAAATATCAGATTTGTAGGTATTTCCTGTAAAACAGATTTAGTCTGCGCAGTGCTGTTTTTTTTTGTCATGTTGTTTTTCTTCGTCCCAGGCATCTGCCTCTTATTTTTATTGTTGGTGTCACAGAGCATTAGTTACCCCTGGCAGCTGCGGCGCGTATCTGCAGCTCAGCCAGAGCCGCTTGGCTGGAGGATGGATGACTTGAAACAGATAGCGCACCACCAGGTTGCAGGTTTTCCACGTCGCCTCTCCTCGCTGGGACAGTTTTATGGTGTTTACGAGCTCCGGCCTCCCAGGATAATGGGAGGAAATTCAATTAATTGAAAAACCCTATGGCCGTCGCTTGTGTGCCATCGCATTCCCCTGTTTTCCGAACAGTCCCTGAAGTCTGGGATTGATTAGTTCCCACCCCGGATGTTCTCTTGATTTAATTCGCCCCAGCCCAGAGAGGGTGTCGTAGTATTTCATTCATGTGTCGGACATGTGAAGAGCAATACGAGAAGCAAGCCATCGATAGGTGTTTCTGTGTGACTAACTGTATCTAGATCTAGACTTCTCCTTTCAAGGGCATTCAAGGTTTTTTTTTTAAAAAAAAAGGTCTTACGCACCAATGAGATTTTTTTCTCAGATGTTGTTTTCGTAACTTAAAAATAAAGAATGTGTAGCTGTTTTTTTAAACTGTAACTACAGTACAGCTTGGAACTTCAGATATGTGGGGAGTAGTTGGCCTGACTCAGAGCCCCTCTCCACGGCGAGGACTGAGCCAGGGAGCTGCTGCAAGGGTGCCAGCGTGGAGACAGGGCGACAGGAAGTCCCGGGTGCGAGACTTACATAAGTAGACGTCTTGTTGAGGCATCCGCACGGGCTAGCGCTAGGCTTACACTCGTAAAGTTGTCCAGGAGGCCTTAGAGCAGCAGGGAGAAATCATGCGCTCTTCCTAGAGCCCTGCCCCAGTGGCGGCCCAGTTCGGCTCAGGTTCTGACCAAGCTGGGCCCAGAGGGGTCTTGCTTCCGCCCTGCGCTCCATTGCCAGGGCTGAGAATCCAGCTGTGCCTTTGCAGCTCCCGATTTCTCCTCGCTTTCCTCACGGCTGTAAGTTAGTGATGAAGGAGATTGTTTCCATGGTGACCAGGAACATTCTTCTTCGCAAACCCAGCAGCCAGACTGAAGTACAGAGGTGTTCGTGCCTTAAATATATTAAAGTGAAGTATTTATAAACGTGGTCGTGGGCAAAATCTCGCTCTTCCTTTCGCAAATAACAACAGAATCTCCTAACTTACCTGCGGCTCCCCAAACTGTGATCTGGGGTACATCTGGCAGAAGGAAAGCTTAAGCTGACATATGGCTGACAGAGTCCTCTGCATACGAGTTTGTGTTTTAGAAAAGGGTGAAATATCCTGTGGGTCTACTCTAGTTTTTGGCGTAGTTATGTGTCCTTAAACCACAGTTGTACAGGGGGCGCTGTGCTGTGGGTCTGCTGACAGAGTGAAGCTCTTGCCCGTAACCACACTGATAACAGAACCAGATGTTTTTATGGGTAGTGTCTGTCTTTACCACCATACAGGGGGCGCTGTCCTGTAGTTGTCTTCCAGTTCAGCTCACAGCGTGTCTAACCGAGCCTGCCTTCCTCCTGCTCTGTCCCGTTCCATCCCCTTCCTGAACTGCACGGCTGCACACACCGAGACCGGTGGATCAGGGGGCCACATCAGCCCAGGCTTCTTTGAGTCAGCGGGACGAGACCTGGTTCTGGAGTTGCTGCGTCCGCGGACGTGCACATAGTTTGACCCAAGAGGCCACTGCAGTCCTCTGCTCAACACTTACTCGTGGAATACTTTTACACCCTTTTAAAGTCCCGGGTTCCCTAGCTTTTCTCTTGTGAATAAATACATCCGATACATCTGTAGCGAAGGATAAGGCCCCCCCACCCGTTGGTTTCTTGTCATTTTATGGGTACCCCCTCCCCCCGTCCCGCTCTGGAGCTGGGGTCCCTGTCCGTGCCCCCCCCACCGTACTCGAGCCCGTGAGCTGGCGATGGATAGAGGCCGGCAGCGCCGCGACCTTTTTTCCCTCGGATCCGACAGGAGAGGGGAAGTGTTTCACAATATGCCCCCCTCCCCTGGGTCCAATAAATACATATCCACATGATCAACAAACACAGGAAGAAACAGAGACAGGAGGAGGGGCGGGGGGAACTGCACCATGACGTCCGGCCGCCTCTCGCACTGCGGCCAGGTCCGGGCAGGGGCTCACACCTGGCACTGCTGGAGCAGGAGAGCAGGGATTTCTGATCCTGTCATCACATTTACCTGCGTGTTCCTTTTCCAAATAAGACCACATTACTACATTACATATGATATTACCTCCTGGTGTTATTTCTATAAAAGAGGCCTTCAGACTGCCGTGCACTGGGAGTCTGACTGACAGCACTGTAAAACCTGGAGTGGATCAGACTGCTGTGCACTGGGAGTCTGACTGACAGCACTGTAAAACCTGGAGCGGATCAGACTGCTGTGCACTGGGAGTCTGACTGACAGCACTGTAAAACCTGGAGCGGATCAGACTCCTGTGCACTGGGAGTCTGCTTGGCCGCTGTATAAAACCTGGGGTGGATCAGATTGCTGTGCACAGGGAGTCTGCTTGGCAGCACTGTAAAACTGGGAGTGGATCAGACTGCCGTGCACTGGGTCTGGTAGGGTTTCGTTGCTGTGTTGTTTCGGGTTCCCGGTGGCGGCTGGCAGTAAACAGGGACAGTGACAGTGAGTAAGTGTGGGCAGGATTCTCCCCCACCCACCAGCCACTTGTCTTCCAACACGTCACAGGCAGCACCTGTGTTAGTGTCAAGCTTAGAGTCACTGAGCTGCGTCACACACTTGGTGTGTGCCCACCCAGCCAGCTGAGCTCCTGGGCCTCCTGGCACTCCAGCGCAGCCCCAGATGAGAGGCCCGAGGCCCCGCTGCGAGAGACTCTGCAGCAACGGGTGATGCCGAGTTCACCCCTGAGAGGAGAATGTCTGCTAAATAAGTAATTACATACTCTCTACATACTCAGGGTTCAGGGGACAGAAACATTCAAATGGTGCTTTCCAGGAGCAAAAAATGTCATTAATAAAAGACAACATTAGAGAATATAAAAGAAAGCAATCCGAGTCCGTGAAGGGGCTCTTAATGACTCTTCACCTCCTGGAGTGGCCTGGAGGGGCAGCCAGTTCAGCTGGAGAGCGGGGGCAGAGGGGCAGGGTGCTTGAGCTGTAGGTGGAGAGTAACTGGCATGCAGTGCTACTCGGAGAGCATGACTTCACTTCAGGCAGATTGGAGCACTCTTGTGCTCAGCCCATCGGCGAGTGCAGTTTGGGGTGTCTGGGCAGTGTCTGAGAACTGGAAACAGGCCAGTCTTGAGATGGGCACAGAGATCACAGCACTGACACCCCCTCTTTGGAGACTTGCCCGTGCCAGACTTGGGCCTCTTCCGGGGGGGGGTTCTTGGAGTCAGTTTCTGGAAGGCTGCTGTTTCTTCTGGCTTTGCACCCCCCTCCTCTTCTGAGCTTCCTGAGACCAAACTGATCTAAGAGCCTGACGTGCTGACGTGCTGCTAGCTTTCTCTCCCAGTGCCCAGAGTACACTAAAGCGAACGTCTCCTGAACGTCTCTAAAGACAAGCACCTGCTTGACTGATCTGCTGTCAGCTTGAGTGATTCCAAGAGAAGGAAACAGTAACTTCAGGAGGCGTCTTAGAGCTGCTCTTGGGCTGGTGGGCCTCTTGACCTTCCGCCCCTCCAGAATCTTAGTGCTGGTGGCACCGGTACCAAACCGCAGTCCAGAGCAGTGCACGTGTGCGTGCGTGCCTGTGTGTGGATGCGTGTGTCTGTGCACGCGTGTGCGTGTTTGTGCGCACGCCCGTGAGCTTGCGGCAGTCTCTGGGAGCTGGTTCTGTTCTGGGGCTCCGGGCCTGAGTGCAGAGAATGGGCTGCTGGAGACAAGATGGCGCCTGCGTGGGGAGGGCGCCAGCACCCCAGAGCTCGAACGGAACAAAGAGAGTCTGACTCATCCTCTGTTCCTGTTGTCACATAACAGTAACATCCTGGCTCGTCTGCCTGCAACGGG